CACTAGGAAGTTTTGAATGTGAACTGGATTGAGAAAGAAGAGCTGAATATTTAGGTACATTTTTAATATAGTCATTGAAAGTGCACAATTCATTAATTATAATAATATATGCAGTTTTACAATCCTAACTATTATAGTTTTTTTTTTTTTTTTTGAGACAGGGTTTTGTTCTGTTGCCTAGATTAGACTGCAGTGGTACCATCATAGCACACTGCAACTTTGTCCTCCTTGTCTCAAGTGATCTTCCTGCCTCAGAGTCTTTTTTTTGAGACAGAGCCTCAAGTTGTCCCCCTGGGTAGCGTGCCGTGGCATCACAGCTCACAGCAACCTCCCACTCCTGGACTCAAGCGAGTCTCCTGCCTCAGCCTCCCAAGTAGCTGGGACCATAAGTGCCTGCCACAACGCCCGGCTATTTTTTTTGGTAGCAGCCATTTTTGTTGTTTGACGGGCCCAGGCTGGATACGAACCCACCACCTTAGGTGTATGTGGCTGGTGCCCTAGCCACTTGAGCCATAGGCGCTGAGCCCCTGCCTCAGAGTCTTGAGTAGCTGGGACTACAGGTGTGTACCACTGTGCCTGGCTGATTTTTGGAACTTTTTGTAGAGACAGGGTCTTGCTGTGTTGCCCAGGCTAGTTGCAACCACCTAGCCTCATGCCATCCTGCTTCCTTGGCCTCCCAAAGCTGGATTACAGATATGCACCACTGCGCCTGGCCCACAGCATAGTTTTTGGACATTTTCATCACCCCCCAAATTCCCTTGTGCTACTATTTGCAGTTGATCCCTGCTCATGCCCCAGGCCACCACTGATCTGCTCTCTGTTTCTCCAGGTTAGTCCTTTCTGGAAATTTCCTGTGAATGGAACCATACACTATGTTGTTTTCGTGGCTGGCTTTTTTCACATAGTATAATGTTTTTGCTTGTTTGTTTTTTAGACAAGAGTCTTGCTCTGTCTCTCTGGGTAGAGTGCCATGGTTTCATCATAACTCACAGCAACCTCAAACTCTTGGGCTCAAGCGATCCTCTTCCCTCAGCCTCCTGAGCAGTTGGGACTATAGGAGTGTGCGCCAGGCCTGATTTTTTAGCATAATGTATTTGAAGTTCCTTTTTATTGCTTAATAGAATTCCATTGTGTGTGTTTACTGTATTTTGTTTATCCATCTACCTTGGTGGACGTTCAGGTGATTTCCAGTCTTGGGCTGTTAGAAATAACACTGCTGGCTCGGCGCCTGTGGCTCAAGCGGCTAAGGCGCCAGCCACATACACCTAAGGTGGCAGGTTCGAATCCCTAGCCCGGGCCGCCAAACAACAATGACGGCTGCAACCAAAAAATAGCTGGGTGTTGTGGTGGGCGCCTGTGGTCCCAGCTACTTGGGAGGCGGAGGCAGGAGACTCGCTTGAGCCCAGGAGTTGGAGGTTGCT